AGTTGAGGGGGGACCCGCGGAGAATGACAGCCAAGCGCGGGCCCACGTGCCTGAATGGCGCAATCTGTTTCGCTAGCTCAAGATTGCGATCTATGAAGCTGCCAATTTGTCAACTTTGCTCGGAATCTCTCTCGGAAAATCCGCCCGTCTCCGGCCAGACCAGTCGAGGCTAGCGCGCGCCCCGGTGTCAGATAACGCGTCTGGCTAGGAATCACTTGCCATTTCGGCTGCAAGAGCGGGGACCACTTTGAGTCAGTTGTTGGCTGTCAATGCCCGCGCCAGGCCAGCTTGGGCAGTTGGTCCAGTGATCAGCACGAGCGCAAAGAGGGGGCGGATCACATCCGGGATTTTACCGACAGGAGGCGGCACTCGTCTGAACCGGACTCGATGCGAGACTAGGGACGAGGCGTGCGTTAAGAAGACGCCGTCGTCCTGACGAAGAGATCGACCAGACCTCACTTCTTTTTCTGCGAAACATAACTGCTGCTGCTGTACCTCGCGACCGCAAGCCATGGACAACGCACTCTCTTTCCTGTACGCCGCTGCGATGCATGATGTCACGGCCCTTGAGCGCGAGTACGCAAAGGATGAGAGTGTTCTCTCCGCACGCAACCCCGAAGGGCGAACCGCCCTCCACCTCGCCGCGCTCCATGCCCACCCGGAAATCCTCCGCCTGCTGCTCAGCTACGGCATGTGCGCCGCCACTACCGACGCCCACGGCCAGTCTGCCTTGCACATCGCCGCACAAGGCTCTTCCACAGAGGCTGTCGAAGTCCTCCTCAAGGACGGCTCAGGCTGCACAACACGTGACAATGATGGCAAGACTGCCCTCGCATACGCATACCAGAACCCGTGCAAGGACTTCCTCGCCCGATTCATCGACTACGCGCCGAGCTGTGGCGTAGGCTGTTCGCTCACCCCGGCGATAGTCCTCGGCTCTCGCCGTGGATCAGGCACTCAAACGAGCGATGCCGCCTCTGTCCCCTGTGCGCGTCCAGCGCCAGGCCCTCCAAAATGCTCAGGCTCCTGCAGCACAGTCAAATGCAAATAACTCAGTCAGGATCAGGGTCAGCCCACCAACCTTGCCACTTTGGGTTTCTCAGCGATGCGCTGAACGCCAACTACACTTAGAGTCGGATATCGATCACGATTCGCTTACATCCTCCGCCACCACCACCACCACGCCGTCTCTCGAATCTCAATCACAAGACCCATCTCAGCAGCCAATCCGCCCAAGCACGTGCTTCAGTCTAGAGCGCTTATGATCCTTCGAGTTCGACAGCAAAGACACCTGACCCTGACGCAGCAACAACGAGAAAGAGCGCTCAAGAGGATATCATCCCTTGTCCCCCAGCGCAGGCGCAATAGCAATCGCATGGCGGCCGGGAGGCTGTCGAGCTCACTTAGCTCCCTCGCTGCAATCTTCAACAGGGAGGCGCGATCGGGCAGACGCCCGCGTTCGCCCAGCCTCCCAATGCGCCATGATTATACTACTACTCCAACTCCGGTTGACGGAGTAGTAGTAGCCTCACAGGCCTAGGGTAGGGTAGCACCCGCGTCGCCTTCTTGCCAACACTGCTCCAGCCTTCCGCGGTCGAATCAGGTCTATGCGGTGGCTCTCGCCTTCGGGCCGACCGGGTTAGCCGGCCATACTACCAAGTACTACCCTACCTAGTACAGCGGCCACGGATTTATGTGTAATGAGGGTACGTTAGCATCGTGATAGAGGCGAATTGAGCCCAATCCCACTCAAGGATGATTGATTCTTCACTCATGCCCTAATCATTGTTGGGAGATTTGATGACCCTTTAGTTGCTTATTTCGTTGGTGTCAGTTTACTAGTATCTAGCACCCCGTGTGTGCCAAAAGTCCATTTCCGCTGACGGCTGCATAGACCGAACTCGGAAACAGGGAGCAGATTCCATTTACTGGCTGTAGTGCCGGGTAGTATCATGTCACAGGGTGGCTGGACTCTCCAAAGTACATCGAAATCAACAATGAAGAAACAGGGGTTACTTTCGATATGTTTCTCGTATAGCTAGCTGCCTTTGTATTATTCCATTGTCCTTGCGAAACGTTGGCCTTATTACTTGGCCCCTAAATCAGACGCTTCTTGTGGGTATGGCCTTTTAGACAGCCTCTTGCCCACCAAGCGCAACCCCAGGCGTTCATTGGCTCAGGCATCGTTGCATGGCACAGGCCAAGTGAGCGCGCCCGTGGCTGGACCGGCTTACTCGCAGACTCTAACCAGATGCATCAGTGCACGGGCGGCGATCGGGATCTCAATCGCGATAGATCTCGGATTTATTACGATGGAACCAAGATTCTTGATCTGTCGTTGGTTCCCTGGATATGATGCGGCAAGGGGAACGGGAAACCAACTCGCTCGAACTTGGTGATCGGAGCTTAAGAACATGACTAAGTCTACGCGTAGAGCGGGGAGAAACTAAGCGGGACTGGGGTTTGACGTCACAAATATCGATCCAAAGGGAATAACACGACCTGACAACAGATGCATAAACCCAGGGGCTGTAGGTCAGTCGGCTAAACTGCTGTCACGTTGCTACAGCAGATATGATGTCCCAGAGCCGCTGCTCAGCTTGGCAGTGCGACGTTACCGATGTCTGGTGTGTGACAGGTAATCACAAGGCATCGATGTCGATGACGGTGTAGTGCCACGAAAATCGTCCGCTGCTCACGAGCCAGTATCATCGGACGCGCTCGGATCAACTACATCGAGGCCAGTGAGATGTGTGAGGCATAGAAAAGAACATTACATGAATACACTCAATATTGGCAAGGGAACACTGGTCATATGCGAGACCCGCATCCCAGCCCTCGGAAGACATCCACTCCGCTCAGCTCCTAGGTATGGAAATCACTGCTCCATCTCTTCAGTAATGCAGCAGAGCGACAGCAGGACACGCTTTCAGATAAAGATACTCAGACTATCCATTATAACCCCCAGCCGAAGTACCGTACTTTCATTGCTCGTTGATTCTGTGATGGCAGAAGGTCTCTGTGTGGGACGTATATGTGGATTTGCAAGAATGAAATCTTCATGGAGAGGACGATACACCGACATGGGATCTATTCCTCCGGCTGCGAGAAATGCGTCCTCAACATCTGATCAATGAAGCGCCAAATCTCCGCCGAGTCATGGGTATTGAGCGACGCAGACATGTAGTACGTATTGCGACGCCCCTGCAAGGCGTTCAACTCCCGATAGAAGCCCCCGCGGATCGCATCCGCCGAGACGGTCAACAAGAACGGAACATGATCGGAGTAGGCCACAAACTCCGGCGCCTGGACCGGAATACCCGCATGCCTCAATTGCAGCACGCTCTGCGTCATATGCCTTTTGACCTCCTCCTCGCTCATATGATCCACGCTCCCGTACAGGATGGAGGTCAGGTTGGGAGACTGGGTCGGTCTCATGACATAGACCGCTGGCTGCGGCGGTAGATGGTACGGGGTATCTGTTGCACGATTCAGAATCAGAGAGCCCACGGGGAGTCCGGGGACATGGGCAAGAGAGGTGTAGTAGTTGGTGTTGTGGAACTGGCCGAAGAGGTCCCGCTCGGTCGGATCGAGGTCGATCGCGGCCAGATTCTCGAGCTTGGGCTGGATGGCGACGATCAGCTTCTTGGCCTGGATTGTCTGCTCCCCGGAGGGAGTGCGCGTTTGCAGATGGATCCAGTCGTCCTCCCCTCCCTCTCCCCCGTCGTCACGGTTTGTGGCGGTAACAGTGCTGCTGAATAGTGCGTCGCCCCCCAGCTCTCGCTGCGCTGCGCCGTAGAGTTCACTGTTGCTGTGGCTGGCGGGTTGGAGAAACCCTCCGATCGCGTCTCGAAGCACACCCAGGCTGAAGTACTTCATCATGTAGAGGGTGAGCTGCTGCAGCAGGTCTCCGACGCCTTGGTTAAATAGCGCAATAATGTCCACTGCCCCGTCGAGATTGTATTTCCTGATGAACTCGCCAAAGGGGAGCAGGAGGTCTTCCGGGACGGGGTCGGGAAGGTTAAACCCGGTGTTGAGATAAGGATATTTCAGTAACTGCGCCGCATACGCCGCCATCGCGGGGATCGTGGTTCCATCTGAGAGGGGCACGGAGGCCCCGGTTCGCATATCGACACGACGCATCACGCCTTGCCCCAGAACGGAGACCTTGACCACCGGGACGTGGAGATAAGCAAAGTAGTCGCGGACCCAGGGCTCATCTTCAAAGTATAGCACTCCGTAGTCGGCGGCAATTCCCGTCGTCGGCTCGGTGTACGTGTTGACGTGCCCCCCAAGATGATCCTCCTTCTCGATGACGACGACGCTATAATTCATCTGGCGTAGACGGATTGCGGCGTATGTTCCGGCTGAGCCACCGCCGATGATGGCTACATCTCGGATAATGCTCTGTTGCGATTCGGGCCACGACGAATTGGACCTTGTCCATGCATCAGGGCGTGCATGAGTGGCTTGTAGACATAATGCGGCTTGGAGGATTAGAAGCGACCAAGAGAATTGCAAAGCCCGCATCTTTTTAGGTAAGTACTGCAGCGATGGGCTTGCTACACAGTTGAAAAGAGTCGTCCATGGTAGTGGGGTTGGAAGCATATATACCATGATCAGGGCGAGAGATGCACCTGTGCGACCAACCACGGCCAATTACTGATCCAGTGCCATGTGATGCGGATTAGACGAACACAACTGCCATCTGACCTGTTCTGCAGTCAAGATTATGCAATAGATCAAGCCTTCTACTTCCTCATTGCCCGGGAAGGCATACAGGGAAATCTTGTATTGCTGGCCGCGTTACATGATGAACTTGAAATCGGGTGCACCAGGTATTAGATTTAGATTTTAAGCTTCCGCTCTACAGGTCATCAGGTCTGGTTGCAAAAGGGTTCATATTGAAACTCCCGGGCTGGCAGTCATTGGAGCCTACCAAGGGACACAAGTTGCCATTGTTACAACCGAAACCCTCGACCAATATCTGGAATCAAAATCTACGCTCCTCGATGAAAGACGTCCAATGCCTCTGCAAGGTGAGCCTCGAGGTCCAAATCCCAGATCCAATGCATCCGCTCGTCCAGATCCTGCCGAATCCTGTCAAGATCATCCTCCACCCCAGGCTTCTGACACTCGTACAACAGACCCGCATCCCGACTCGTGCGGACCAGCCTCTGGGTGCGCGGTCTCCGCACCGCATCATACGCCGCAAATGCGCGGCTCAGCTGACGCCGGTCCCGAACCTCCTTCAACAACCGGGACAGGACGAAGACATCCTCAATCGCCATCCCAGCCCCGGCCCCCTGATGCGGGGTGCTGGCATGCGCCGCATCCCCAATAATACAGATCCGCCCATCTCTGTAGTAAGTTCGCGCGGGGGGGTGGTCGAACATGGCCCAGATATCGGCATTGCGCATCAAGGACAAAATGGCCTGCACATCCGGGCCCCAGCCCGCGAAGTCCCGCAGCATGTGCGCCTTATTGCCCGGCAGCACCCACTGCGCGCCGTGCTCCCAGACCCCGTCCGCCTTGGTGCGGAACGCCACCACGTTCATCGTCTGCCCCTTCTCGATGGGGAAGGTCAGGACGTGCCCGTCATACCCCCAGTGGAAATGATTGTTGCGGGCCGTGTACTCGCCCAGCGCGGCGACCGCCTCCTCCATGGGGATCAGGCCCCGGTAGGCGTATTTGCCCGTGAAGACGGGCTCGGCCTCCGCCTCGCCGGCGAGCAAGATCTGGCGGACGCGGGACCTGATCCCGTCGCAGCCGACGACCGCGTCCACCGTCGCGGCGGTGCCGTCCGCGAACCGGGCCGTCACGCTCGCGTCGGGGTTCTCTTCCAAAGAGACGAGTCGCTTTCCGAAGGAGACATAACTCTCCTGCGCTCTCTTGGGGAGAAGCTCGGTCATCCCCTCGAGGAACCGCGCGCGGTGGACGCTGCTCCGGGCCACCGAGGCGCGCGTCTCGTGGATATGGTCCCCGGCCTTGAGGGTGTTGGTCGGACGCCGTTGGCCGTCCATCCCCATCCGGTAGCTGGACCAGAGCTTCCGCTCGAGCGCGCCTTCGTCCGGCTGCACGGTGGCGTGCTTGTTGTAGGTGGCTATCATCTCCGCGTCGATGAGCCCCATCGCGCGCAGGGAGTTGGACCCGAAGGCGATCCCGGCGCCGATCTCAGAAAACGCCGGGGCGGCTTCGTACAAGTGCGGCTGAAGGATGTCACGGGAGGTGTGCTTCAAGAGGGCCAGGAGGAGCGTCAGGCCGGCGATGCCACCGCCGATGATGGCGATGCGCACGGGGCCGTCGAGGGGTTGAGGGATTGCCATGGCTGGTTGTCGATGGGAGCCTGTGAGTCAAGGAAGTCAGTGATGGTAGGCTTGTCTGTCACAAAAATGTCTGAGGGGTCAGTCGGAGGAGCGAAGCACCTGAGCCAAGGCAGGGAAGGACATCGAGACACTCTGACAGGGCAGGGGGCAGCAAACCCCGCGGCGCAGCACTAAGCGTTTAGCCGGTCAGGCTAAGGAAAGCCTTACGGATGCTAGGCAGACTTAGCGGCGTTTTCCCGCGGGAACAAAGCTTGTCATTTATCGAGCTGTCATGACACTTCTGGCAGTTAGGGGAAAGAAAGAAGTCATCGTTGCCTCAAATGGCAGTGCGCTAGCCCTAAAACATCATTTCACATCCGTCTTACTTTCAAGCAAGTGAACTAGCGCAACGAATGTCTCCTGTGAAATCCTTATGAGCATGCCACAGCTTCTTGGAAAAAAGAGTGACCGAGTTAAGGCAGGGATCCGAATTCTGCCACTGCCATCATCAAACGAGATTGGCCCCCCCCCACATCGGCTCGTGCTTATTCAGACTAGTCGGAGCAGGAGCCCAACCCACATTCAACATGACACATCCGTTCCGACCACCTAGTCTAGTTCTCAAGATTAAGTACGAGTAGGACTTGACTCCGCCAGCTGCGCCATCTCACTGGTGACCTCCATCTCCCCCATAAATTTCTCGATCAAGGCCGAATCACTGCTGCCGGCGCGGAGCCGTGGCCGACCCGGCCCCGAGCTAAGGCGATTGGAGTGGGATAACTGCGACAGCTCGTACGACCCCTGCAAATGACTACTGGGGTAGGAAGACAAACCCCGACCGGCACCAGGAAAAGATTTGCTGTGCGGGCCCCCTCTCCACCCCTGCCCCCATGGCGGATCAGGCGCACAATGGGCATCAGACTCGGAAGACACGCCACCACCACCCCTAGGCTGCTTTCGATCGCCGTCCACAGATGGGAATATGTATCGGACCCTAGCAATTTCAGGAATCAATATTTGCTGTGTTCGACGCGGGTGGTTGACAAGTCAGAATGAATACACAAGGGGTTTGTCTCACACGTGATGTCCGCGTTGCTGATTGCGATGAGATTTTCGAGCCGTACACCCGAGATAATACAGACACGGGTAGGCAAAGTTACTCATTAGTATCTATGTCATATCAATCAAAACAGTAGAGACGACTTTGCTGGAGGGTGGGGAGCAGACATAACACCCAGAGTGAGTATGACCGACAATCCGATTTTCTTCCCTTGCGCGACCTGAAGCTTTCAAGTCTCGCGGGTGGGCAGGGCGAGGAGGAGTAAATCCGTACACAGGTCTGTCGCAGCCAACGTGATCACAAAGGGAACGAAGTCGATACATCTCCCCTGCGTGGTTTTCATTCGCCACGCGTGGTGGATCGGTGTGCATTGGAAGATGGCTGTGGTCTGGAAAGCGAGGTACCAAGCGAATAGAAATACGATGATAAAGCGACAGGCAATGACCATGGATCGGACGGGGAATATGCGTTGGTGGAAGAGGGCAATGGACAGCTTGATGACAGGAAGGCAGGTGTTCCAGAATAGTTGCATCATGTACAGGTTCTATGTGCTCGCGCAGTCAGGTCAGTAACATGTAGGATACTGGAAGCAACTGGACCACATACCAGGGAGTATTTCTGTACGGTCGCAGTAATCCGGGAGTCAACATGCTCACCCACGCCGGCATGAAGACCTAGATATATGTGTTAGAGAATCCTTGCTGGTATAAACGAGAGGTGTTGACTCACTTTGAAAGAGAAGGATGTTCACTCCCAAGGACAGCGCCTGCATCCATGTCGGTCAATCTTGGCTCTCTATGATTCTGAGGAGAGAATCACATACCAAGGCAACAACTATCAGGTAGTCCTCCAGGAATGGTTTCAGTCGTTGCAGTTTTCGTGCCCAGAATCGCAACGACACGGAAGTCAGTGACAAGAACACGAGAACACTATTAATAACCACTATCTGGAGTTGCCTCGCGTTGTAGACTCCAGTCAGTGTCAGTGCCATGATGGATAAATATTGAAGTCATTGTGGCAACTGACTACTATCGGAACAAATATTGTATGCTTATATGGTCTATTTGACACCAGGCAATCCTCGGCCAGCTTCAATAACTATCTGAATCAAGTCATTTCCCATAGCTCCATGGATCCGACCCTCCTTGCAGGGATGTCATAGCATCGTCCACAAGAATACACCATTTAGCCCGAAAGGATACACAGAGATCAAAAAAGCAAGTATTAGCCAGCCTGCATCTAGTAACCTGTGCTAGCATTCACTAATGCAGCCCAGTACAAAGATCAATATGCCTATCAATAAGCACTAATCATATGCAATCTAAATTAGCCGCAGTGGTTCCAACGTCCTGTCCCGCAATTGCAAAACCACTCCTTAATCATTGTCCACTTTCTTTCTTCTTTTTTTCTAACCCTCCCCTCATCTGTCCTCTCTGCGAACACTGGCACAGGAGAGATCCTCCTGGGTGACCGCACTTAATGGCTTAATACCCCGTCGTTGTCAAGCCTCAACTGGAATTGGGTATTGTAGCCGAATCAGATCCTAATCCAAAAACGCAGAATGGGGTGATTCTCGTTCCCCAACCGTCACAAGCCCCTGAAGATCCACTGGTATGCTCACGCTCTGTTCCTCTGTTGCCCGTGAGCCGTTGCTTACACATGTGCTGACGGCATCACAGAACTGGACCAAGGCTCGAAAGCTAAAGAACCTGGTCATCCTCTGCATGGCTGGGTTTGCGGGCACCGCACTGGACCTGGCGAATCAGTTGGCCCAGAAAGAGGAGACCCAGAACTGGGACAAGGCGGTTATAGAAGTCACATACACCTTGTCCGCCTCCATCGCCGGTATCGCCTACGGACCGCTCCTGATCAACCCCCTTGCCCATGCCTTCGGTCGAACCGCGATCATCTTCTGGTGTCTTTTCTTCGCCATGGCATGCGCCATCTGGTCCGCCAACATGACCGGCCGAGGCGACTATGAACGCTTCGTGGCGTCGCGTCTGTTTGATGGGATTTTCGGATCCATCCCGTCCATCCTCTGAGTTGGTATGATTCTTCCCCCGCTGTCCTGAAGAATGCGTTCTCTAATACAGCCTCTCACAGAGACGTATCGCATGGCTACCCTTCCGGATCGGCCTCTCCCCCATCGGCCTGATGATCGGTCTGTTCCAATTCGCCTCCTTCGGCTGGTTCGTGGCGACCCACAGTCTCATCACCGTCTGGCTCGAGAAGCCCGTGACCGTCGGCGGATGGGGGTTTACCGCTCAACGGAATGCCTTCTGTATGCATCCCCAATCACTCCACCATTTAGTCATTACCTAACACCCCAACCAAAAACAGTCATCTTCTCCCTGTGGGCCGGTCTCCTCACCGCCGAACTCTGGGGCTACCTGTGCAACGACCGCATCGCGCTCTGGGTCTGCTGCACCCGGAACAAGGGGGTCTGGAAGCCCGAGTGCCGGCTCCACACGCTCTGGATCCCTTCTCTCATCCTTCTTCCCATCGGCCTGGGCATCATCGGCGCCGCCCTGCAGTACCACCTGCACTACATGGTGCTGGCGCTGGGCGCCTACCTCATCACGTTCGCCTCGATGAGCTCCGTGCCTGTCGCGGTGACGTACGCGATCGAGTGCGTCGCCGCGCAGCCCACCGAGGTGGCCGCCTTCATGGGCGCCTATCGCCTCTCCCTGGGGCTGGTGATCCCCTTCTTCATCGATCAGTGGGTGGCGCGCGTGGGCTTCGGTTGGGTCTATGGGATGATGGCCTTCTTTTCGATCTTCGCTTTCACCTTCGTCGTGGGACTGATGGGCTTCGGGGAACGACTGCGCGAGCGCACGCTGCGCGGCTTGGCTGCGCGGGAGATTGGGAGGAAGATTGTTGATGATTTGGACTAAGAAGGGCAAGCAGGTTTGAAAATGCTCGTAGGAATGCTTGTGTTGCATCCGAGGCGGAAAGGCTCAAAGCGAAACAAGTATGGTTAGCTGTCGGACGAATCTCCGCCCCGTCATCAGTAGATGATAGATGATACGAAACTGGCTAACAGCCTCTACGACGCCGCGAAGAACATGCGGTTCGCGAACCTCCTCACCTTCGCGGGCGGAATGAACCCGATTGAGATTCCTAAGACGTTCGACGCGCCGGTGCAACGTGGCTCGGCAACGGGGAGTGACTTGCAGGTACTGAGGCCGGTGGTGGGGAGGCGTCGTGTAGGTTATGGGGCAATTTGATATTGCGGGGAAAAGGTAATGTATCCGGGGTCAGAAGAGGACAAAGGGAGTGTGGAGACTCGTCTCGAGCTGGCTCATCTTCATGGACAGCTGTGCCTAAAGAAGGGGTGCGTTTTCCATAGGGCTACGATACAAAGTGACATGTGGATTGATGACAGTACGGGCAGCAGCAAAAGAAATAGTACTGTACAGCACATATCAGTATGCGGCTCCAACCCCCTTAACCAATGCTATAATACAGCCGAGCCCGTGTCTCTCTGACAGAGCCCCGAGAAAGCGCTCACCCACAGCAAGCGGAGCAAACATAGCTGAATGCAAGGGATGATGCCTCCTGCACAGCAACTATGGGACAGACCGCTTGATGCGGGCAGCCCAGGCCCCCCTTGTGCAATCCGAGGTGTTAAATCCAAAGCCTTCCCCGCGACCGACAGTGGCTGGCTTGTTCACCCACCCGAAGCCATCATATCATCCACCATGTTGGGCATAGGCACCATTCTAGCAGGCCTGACAGGAGCCCTCAGCCTCAGCAGGCTGAGCCAGCGCTCCAAGACCCCGAAAATCCCAAATGCCACGACCCTCCCTCTCAAAATCGACACCCACCACCACTTCATCCCCGACTTCTACCGCGAAGGTGCAGTAACTCCCCCCCTTCCCCTCAAACCCCCCATCAACCATCAACCCTAACTCCCAACCCCCACCTCCAGCAATCGACACAGCGGGCGGCGACCCAGCCGGCATCCCCACGCCAAACTGGACCCTGCAAACGACCCTCGACCACCTGGAAACCAACAACGTCCGCAAAGCCTACCTGTCCCTAACCACCCCGGGCCCCACCATCGCCGGCCCCAACACAACGACGATCCGCCAACTGGCCCGCCGCGCCAACGAGTACGCCGCCGGCCTGGTCGCCGCCCACCCCAGCAAGCTAGGCTTCTTCGCCTCCCTCCCCTCCCCCCTCGACGACCCCACCGGCACCCTCGCCGAACTCACCTACGCCCTCGACACCCTCCACGCCGACGGCGTCACCCTCTTCACGCGCTACGGCCCCGACAACACATACCTAGGGCACCCCTCCTTCCAGCCCCTGTGGTCAGCCCTGAACACCCACCGCGCCGTCGCCTTCATCCACCCGACCACCGCCGCCTGCAACGAGTGGATCAACCCCGTCCTCCCGCCGCCGATGCTGGACTTCCCGGCCGAGACCACCCGCGCCGCCATCGACATGATCATGGGCAACGTCACCCGGGCCTTTCCGGACGTGACGCGCATCCTCTCGCATGCGGGGGGCACCCTCCCGTTTCTGATTTCCCGGATCGCGGTGACGGCGGGAGCGGTGCAGCATCCAAATGTGACGGTGTATGGGAAGACGTACGCGGAGTGGATGGAGGGGGTGCGCTCGTTTTATTATGATTTGGCGTTGGTGGGGACACCTGGGGTTTTGGGGTTAGTGCTGGGGATGGTGGAGCCTGGGAGGGTGGTTTATGGTATGTTGGCATGTTCCCGGGCCTTTGGTGTTTGGTTCCTGCGGGGTGTTTTGGGTGGCGGGGGGGGGGGTCTGAGGGGAAGGCTAATATGGAGTATAGGATCGGACTTTCCGTATGCGAATGCGGATAAAGTGGCTGGGTATCGGGAGTATTTGGATGAGTATGCCATGGACGAGGAGTTGCGGGATGGGATTTATTTTGGGAATGCGGAGAGCTTATTGGGTTAGGGTTGGGATTGGGGTGTTGTATGCGTGGCGTGTGGCTCGCCTTCAGTTTAGTGGAGATGCATACACCTATACTAAGGCACATTTTAATTTGTCGCATTACACACTGCATCGTCAAAAAAAAGATACTCATTACAAACCACCTACTTATACACCAATTGAAACAGACTCAGTCCTTCTGCAACACCCGCCGGAAAGTCTCCAACGTGTGCTCCCACACCTTCCCCGCAAACCCGCGCTCGCGATACTCGGCCATCAACTTCTCCTTGGTCGCATTCTTCCCGTCGTAATTTAGGATATACGAGCCCGCCCCGACCTGCCCCGTCGACGCGACCGCCGTGCGCAGCCCCTCCGCCAACGGCGTCCCCACATACCCCGACGCATCCCGGGGCTTGGCGGCCGGATACGCCGCGGAGGTGGCTATGAACAGGTTGCGCTGGCCGCTCTCCTCGGGCGTCATGGACAGCGGCCGCGAGAGCACACCCAGCACGGCGCCGGCCCAGTTCCCAAAGGTGGACTGCATGAGCGGGGTGCGCACGATCCCCGGGAAGACGTGCGCGAAGCCCACCGTCGGGTGCGCCGCGGCCAGGTGCTCCAGCGCCAGCGAGTTGAGCGTCGCCGCGTAGGTCGCCGCCTTGCGGAAGGACCACGATTGCCGCAGGTCGAGGTTGTGCTCGTCCACGTGGCCCTCCTGCCCTGCGGCCAGCACGGACACGACTCGCGGCGCGCCCGAGGAGTTCTCCAGCAGGGGCAGGAGGTTGTGGATGAAGCGCATCCGGCCGTAGTAGCGTAGGACGTGGTTGTCGTCTAGGCCTTCTTCGGTTTCTAGTGGGGTTTTAGTTTGGAAGTTTGGTTATTTTGGCTGGGAGCTGGGATGATGGTATACCATTCTTAGACATAGCCAGATGCCCCGTCGACAGGAAGAGCAGGTCGATGGATTTCTCCTTCTCCTTGATCTGCTCGCAGGCGGTGTCGACATTGCGCAGCAGGGACAGGTCGGCCTGGATGAAGTGGAACTTGCCGTCGGGGTTGGCGGCGCGGAGCTCCTCCAGGACGCGCGAGCCCGATGCAGCGCTGCGGCCCACAACGTGGATGGTGGGCTGCTTCACGGACTGGGCCAGCTGCTTGGCGGTTGCTTCGCCGATGCCGCTGGTGCCGCCGACGAAGACGGCGATCAGTTCGGGCCGGCTGGTGGAGAGGGTCGCGTTGGACTGGCGGACCTCGTTGAGAGTGGGCATGATGAGGTGCTGTGAGGGAAGAGGCCGTCTCACATGAGTTGATTTACTGGTTAATTGTGATTGTGAGTTGGTGAGAAGTGGTTGTGTTGATGGAATGCGGTGATGGCTGGGTTTAAATACGATGTCTTGGCAGAGCGGATAAGGAAAGATGACGTCGTCTAACAATCTGACTCAGCCACGGCGCGCAGCCTCACCTCGGGGCATCTCGGATGGCATTCCTTTTCGGGTTCCTTTTGACTCATCTAATGCATTCCCCATGCATGTATGGACTGTACGGACTGCTCCTTCAGTGACTCGATATGCCACTGTAGTGCTACCACACCTACCAGACTAGATCACTTCCAGCCTACATTACTTCAGCGTCCTGCTGCTTTTTTGCTGTCCACTTGATGATCAAGTGACCAAAGTCACTTTGCCCGACAATTGACCGTTCAGCCGCAACTCCACTATTCTACTGCTCCCAGCGCGATGACACAGTCTTGGTCGTGGTGAAGAACGGCCAGTAGGTTTTCCCAGGAGCGTGTCGGTCTGAGGTAGTCAGCACGGTGCGCGCGCTCCGGATAGAGAGGAAGAAAGATCCCTACCTCCCAGGAACGAATCCTTGTTGCTCGTCCGAACCGCAGTACCATACGGGGCTACATAACCTTTAGTATGCTACCATACACGAGCAAAGCTAACAACATACCTATCAACGGGATGTTGACCCCAATCTGCCCAACGTTGACGCCGCGCTGAAATGTATTGGCATGTTTACCACTGGTGGTGAAAATGGAACATGCATTGCCATCTACGCGACCAGGATCAGCCCACCGGCTTTAATAGCGTTGAGGTGGCCAGTCAACTCACATTTATTCCGATTGATGAGCTCCATCGCTTCCTCCAGCGTCTCGACCTCCATACAGATGAGTACCGGCCCGAAGATCTCCGACTGGTAGCACTCCATGTACGTCTCCACCTCAGTCAGGATCGTCGGCCCCATGAAATTGCCATCCGGGTAACCGGGAACCTGGATCTGACGACCGTCCAGAAGCACGCGGGCTTGCTCCTGGACCGCACGTTGGATGACGCCGCCGACCCGCTTGACGGCCGCCTCGTCGATCAGGGGCCCGATCTTGGACTCCTGGTCGCCCCCACAGCCGACGACCATCGACTCGGCCAGCTCGACCAGTCGGGGGATCCACTCGCGCGTGCTGCCCACGAAGACGGCCACGCTGAGCGCCATGCACCGCTGGCCGGCCGCCCCGAAGGCACTGCCGGCAATGGCGAAGAGCGTGGAGGTCATGTTGGCGTCCTCGAGGATGACGCCGTGGTTCTTGCCGCCGCACTCGGCCTGGATGCGTTTTCCGGCCGCGCGCGCAAGGTCGTGGACCTGGCGCGCGGCGGGCTCCGAGCCGACGAAGCTGATGGCCTGGACGGCGGGCTGGTGGATCAGCATCTGCACGGTCGACGGGCCGCCGTGGAGGACGTTGAACACCCCGGGCGGGAAGCCGGTCTTGAGGAAGGCCTCGGCGAGTAAGGCGGATGTCGATGGTGTCTTTTCGGAGGGCTTCAACACCACCGTGTTGCCTGTGATCAGAGCATAGGGCAACGACCAGAGGGGGATCATGAACGGGAAGCTGAACGGGGTGACGGAGACGCAGACGCCCTGCGGGTTCTGAATCAGCATTGCACAACCTAAACTGTGTTTCCAGTTCAATGCAGTCAAAAGTCAGCACTGACCACCGGCTCGTAGAAAGTCTGCAGCAAGGTGGCATCGCCTCCGAGAAACATGCCCGCCATTTCGGGCCCGACGGAGCAGGCCGCGTGGATGCAGTCTAGCCCACGGAAGACTTCGGCGTCGGCGTCGGCTAGAGTTTTCCCCACCTCACGGGATAGACAGGTCACCTACGGTCAGTCTGAATCAGCTACCTGGTGTTCTTTCTGGCGTTGAGTCTTGGATGGAAGGAGTCCTACTATTTCCGGCGACATTTGCCTGAGGACATCCACCAGTTTTAACAGCCGCTCCCGCCGCACCTGGAACCCCAACGCCGCCCAGGCGGGCTGAGCATCCTGTGCCGCCTGAACAGCGCTCTGGACTTCCTGCAGTGTACTTCCAGGCACCCTACATAGTAAGCTTTGCGAGACCTGGAATAGGGGTCAGTGAGTACAGAAATAGGACAATTTCGAGGGGGAAAAACCTCTTACCGGATCCAGTACATTGCTCCAGCTCTGCGACTTGGACATGACATGCTCGTTGTTGATGAAGAGATGCGTCACGGTCGGAGGCGCCGGCGAGACCGGAGTCTCGGACCCATCGTCATCACCGTCACCACCATTGTCCAATTCCGAGCTCTCCCCACGGGTTGTGGCGTCCTCGACATGACTAGAGCGCGTGCTACTTCTCCGCGAGCGGGTCTAACTCCAGCGTCAATCGGGTGTTGTCCGTGTAGGGCTTATCGGAAGGAAGTCCACCTACGTCTGAGCTGCGGCGGGAGGCCCGCTCGCTGGAGACGACCGTATCGTCGCTCGGAGTGGGCGATCCCGAGGGGAAGGGGGCGAACCGCGCCGCCCGATTCGACGATTTGGTCGAGATTCGCGGCATATCAGACAGTACAGCTTGTGTTATCCGCTCACCGGGGAAGGAGATTGAGGCGGAGTGGGAGGGAAGATAGACGATAGATTGATTATCTCTGGATGTTGGGGTTCATGGCGGCTTATCAGTTCTCAGGGCAGGTCGGGATTCCCCGAGGAGTTGGGCGATAAGGGATTTCCCCGCTTTGTGTGAGATCGCTGATAAGCAGGTCTGCAGTGGGTTTAGCTCATTGCTGTTTGTGGATTGGGGTAATGAGATTAAGAGGGGCCATTATAGGTGGATACTGGATTCATGCAGTGTACTTCCTACTGTACACAGATCTATGCGACCGTTGGGTTTATCCTAGTCTTGACAAACAGACAGGGAGACCAATCCATTTCATGGGGGAGCTAGTAGCCTCGAGTAGCTGGGCATGGCGCAGACCTATGAGACTGACTTGAGTGAGATATGCAAATTTGACTCGACCTGTGCATCATGCTGCCAGACACGAATAAGGTGACATGGACGTAAAACTCTGGTTCCGTAGATGTGCCTTCGTATCGAAAGACTGTTGCTGTATGGCCGACAACTGGTGGTGTTCCGATCTTTAGGTCACGCGACAGACATAGATGAGACTGACAACTCCCACCTTCAAGGGCCGACTTCATAAGTACTAGGTATGTATAAACCTGCTACTCCTTGACATCTATAGAAGATAGCTCCCTCTTCACCCTCCTCCCCTGACAAACAGGCCCCAGTCGAAACCAGGACAGCGATAAGATTAGATCCGCCTTATCAACCACAGTTAACTGTCGCGTGCCAAGCCACCCTCCGTGTGAATTTTCTTCTCCGCCTTCTTCCGCCCACGCACGCATCATTCACAGCACTTGCATTGTACGTACCCCTCTTCACTCACCACCAAGCAAAGTACCCCGCTACACCAACCTGGATATAAATCGCGGTATTCCACTGCTAAACCTCTTCTCTCCTCCCTTCCACGAAGTTTCGCCAATTCTCCCATCTCCAACACCCCGCAAACCCGGCACATTTAGTACCGTACACCCAATCCAATACATTTTCATCAAACTCTAAAGCCTCCACCAAATGTCCACCCCAACTGCCGGAACCACCTCGGCACTTCCCACCCCCCCAATGGACCGCGCCACCGTGCTCGAGCAGGACCGCTCCCTGCTCAGCCTCATGACCATCATCCGCGACGTGCACACCGACGACCGCGCCTTCGTCTCCGCCGTGGAGAAAGTCGTGCACCGTCTGATCTCTTCCGGTATGGTCACGTGTTCTCCATCTGGCGGGTGGAATCGAAGAAACTAATGCGAGAGGGTACCTCAATCTCAGCGCTGAACCACGTCCCCGCCGAGGAGTATACCGTCACCACACCGCTGGATACCACGTACAAGGGCCTGCGCTTCACGAAGGGGGTCTGTGGCGTGAGCATCCTGCGCGCCGGCGCGAGTATGGAGCAGGTTTTGCGGGATACGTGGACGTAAGTCACTTCCGGGCATCCTTTCGGTTTCTGTGTGGTGGAGGTAGATGGGAGGCTGATTGTAGGGGGGGGCGTGTAGCGGTCGTCTGAGCTTCGGAAAGCTCCTCATCCAACGCGACGAGGAGACGAGTATCGCCAAGAGTTATTACTCGAAGTTGCCGGCGGGGATTCGCGATGATGGTACGTGACACTGTTTACTTGGTCTTCGGAATTGCTTTGTTTCTTGGGATGTTCTAACCAGGCGAGTGTAGTGGTCTTGCTTCTCGAGCCGATGCTCGCGACCGGAGGCTCGGTTATCAAGGCGGTGGAGACGCTGACCGAGCATGGCGTGCCGGAGGAGTCGATCGTGCTGGTCAATGTCGTCTCCTCGCGGAAGGGGCTCGAGGTGGTCACGGGCCGGTTCCCTGCGTTGAAGATCGTGTCGGCCGCGGTGGACGCGGATCTGACGGCGCAGAAGTGAGTGTTCCTGCTTCCTTGGGAGGGGTCCTTCAAAACAGGAGTACTGACTGGTTGTAGCTACATTAGCCCTGGCTTGGGTGACTTCGGGGATAGATACTATGGTACGTGCTGAGTATGCATCGAGGTGGGAGGCGGCAGTCGGTGTTTTCGTGGTTATAGTAGTGTAGTATCTCTTTCGTGGGCTTTTGGATTTTGGGTGCTTCTTCTATGCATTGTGGGGGGTCGTAGGCTGGAATTTGGATATGTCTTGCATGGATGGTTGGATGGGTTTAGGGTGTATATTCATCGCATCAGGTGGGGGTCTTTCGAGTCGAACATTTTTCCCTGGTATGATGCAAATTCCAGGTCAAATACTTTGTTACTGAATGTGATCGGTCGCTTGGTCTTATAAGTTTTACTTGCTTGACTATCTCTACTCAAGATCAGAACACCGTCCCAAACAGCCGATCCCCGATATCTCCTACTCCAGGCTGGATATATCCCTTCGCATTCACCTCCGGATCCACCGCGCCTACCACAAAGCGACTCCCCTCCGGCCACACTCCGGCTGCGTAAGACAACCCCGTTGGCGTGGAGAGCATGGACAGGAAAGTTACCTTCTCCAGGCCCCATTCTCTGCCGATGACTCATTAGTCACTCAATTATTGCCTTCCCACTATCTAACCGATCTCGAAAGAGAGGGAAGGATCGAAACTCACTGCAAGATCGCAACAACCGCCGCCGCCGTCCCACCCGTCGCGATCAACGGATCCAGCACCACCGCCTGTTTGATCTGCGCCGGCTTGAGCGGCAGTTTATTGTAATACTCCACCGGCTGCAGCGTCGTCTGATCTCGGAAGATACCCAGGTGGTAGACTGCTGTCGAGAGGTTCTGGGGCAGGCTGTCCATGAAGCCGTCGAACATGGCAAGCCCGGAACGGAGGACGACGATCACGGCTACCGTTTTTTCGGGGCCGGTGGTGTCAAGATGGACGGATTTGGAGAGAGCGGTGGTCATTTCACGGACCAGCGAGCGCACTTCGGAGGGCTTGAGGTCGCGTTGGCGGAGGCTTTCGAGGAGGGCTGTGAAGGTGGTATTGTGCACGTGGTGCACATTGGCAGGGAGGGTGACGGTCATGATGAGGTGGTGGTGAAATCTGGAGGATGTCGGGTGTGAATTCAGATGCAAAGAAAATGTGTAGTCCGGAGACAGTGGCGGTTAACTGTGCTTATATCCATTCACTGATGCCTTGGCTCCAGGATCACAGACGAACACTTGCAATGTATCGATGGTGTTGCTGCGATATACTGCCGCGCTGGCGGTATCGCGTGGTGCTATCAGATAAGATAGACGGTATCAGCCGAGGAACAGGGATGATAAGCGCCTTTCCCCGCTCTGAGTTGTTGTTTCTTTCCCCTCCTTCCTACTCCTGCCTCCAACACAACTTCTTGACTCTTTTCGAGCAGAAATTCTTGAGCAGAACACCCTTCGAAGAGCCCACCACAGATACTGCAGTACAAGAGCCACCATGGATTCCAGCATCCAGCAACTTCTCGGTCTCGAAGCTGTCCGTGATCGCGCCCGTGTTGTCCTGAGCCTCGCCGAGCAAGGAAAGCTCCACCACTACGATTATCACCCCGACCGCTTGGACGCGACCGTGGACTACGTTGTCAACATCATAACGGTGCGACATCCTACTCATAATCCCAACAAAGCTAGAACCTAACACATTATCTCTGACAGCGCGACTTCGGCCCCGACCGATACGATCAGATCCCTCCCCACGGTCGCTGGCAGCACTTCGAAGTCGGCGGGGTGCCTCGACTACAGCAACTTCTCGAGCGGTGGACCCAAGCCGGATATGACGACAAGGAGAAGGTGCGCAGTCTGTTGGATTTGTTCTTCGTCTCCGTGCTCCTCGACGCCGGAGCGGGCGATACATGGCGGTACGTCGAACCGGAGACGGGAAATGTGTATAACCGTAGTGAGGGAATCGCGGTCGCTTCACTGTATATGTTCCTCAACGGAGACTTTGCCAAGCAGGGGTCGGAGAGGAAGGATGTCGTGCATGGTGGGCTTTCACTCTTTCATTTAACACCTAGCAAAGCTGACTGATGTTGTTTAACAGGGGAGGCGCTGAAAGGCCTGACGGTGGATGTATTGACCAAGGGGTTCCAGGTTGATGATCAAAGCAATCCGCTTGTTGGAGCCGGTGCACGCGTGGAGATTCTACAAAGACTGGGCCAGTCAATAACCAGTCTCCCGGAGATATTTGGACCGTCCGGTCGCCCTGGCCAGCTTCTTGGTGAGCTCAATGCTTTGTAGTCGACCGGGGTGTACACTGACCAATGCAGACCATCTCCTCTCCTCGGGCGCGGAGAACCTCGACTACGCCCGACTCTGGGCCGTGCTGCAGCAGACCTTGATCCCGATTTGGCCATCCGACCGAACCCGCGTTCGCGGACACCCGATCGGCGACGCATGGCCTCTGGCTGTATTGTCGGAATCCTCCCAGATCACCGCGACAGACCCCGAGACCGCCACCATCCAGCCCTTCCACAAGCTGACGCAGTGGCTGGCCTACTCACTCAAGGTTCCCTTCGAGCGCATACTGAAAATCACCTGGAAGAATGCGCAGCTGGGAACTGGCCTGCCCGAGTATCGCAATGGAGGGTTGTTCGTGGACATGGGGGTTTTGACGCTCAAGCCAGGGGCGATGGAGCGCGGACTGCGCACCTCCGGGGCCGCGCTGCCGTGTTTCGCGGTGGGAGATGGGGAGATTGTCGAATGGCGAGCGATGACGGTGGCTTTGCTGGACGAACTGCACAAGCGGATTCTGGGAAGTGGGAAATTGGGAGATGTTCGATTGACGCTGCCTCAGATGTTGGAGGCTGGCTCGTGGAAAGCGGGTCGGGAGCTGGCGGCGGAAAGGCGGCCGGAGACTAAGTCCAGTCCCATCCTAAACTCTGGGGACGGCACTTTGTTCTAGAACTTCTTCTTTCGAGAGATATAGCTGGGTCAAGAATCGATCGCATGAAATGTTAGGAGTGACTTGAGCAATATTGTGCAGTGTCGAAGCCATGTTTGACGCTCGACCTGGTTATCTTGGCTAAGCGACCTTGATGGCTGCATGAGTAGTAAGAAAAGAGGGAGCTTTGACAGCTTTAGCAGCGTTGACCCCTCTAGAATAACATTAGTGGGGTTTAAACTGCCGTCATTCTGACGAAATTCATAGAAGGGCCACGTA